CGTTTCGATTAAGATTATATCCAACTACAGATGAAACTCAAATGTGGTAAATGAGTTATATATTATATTTTTTCAATTGAAAATTACATTAAATCATAGAATTAGAAACCATTTACACTTACAAATAATGACCAAAGCATTTTTTAGCATGAAAAAATATCATTTTGCGCGAATCATTATATTAGGGTAATATTCACGAGCAACCACCAAGGTTATCATTGTAAGTTATTGACATTAGTTTATTGTAAACGATTACTAGTTATACGAATTATGGATACATTTTTTAAAGTGTTGAAAATTGATTTAGAACAACCAAGGATATACACTTCAATTAACGAAAACACTTCATCTGTGTTGTGCAAAATTAATAAATGTATTCAAGGTCAAAGGATGATCTTAAATCATTTTACCATATACTACTACTATAATAATAAACAAAAAATTATCCATAATTTGTATGTTATATTGTACTGAATAATGTTATGTATGAAATGGTTTTCGACAAAATGAACTATTTCCATTAGACTGAAATTATTATATTAAGAATATTATCGTGAGGAACACCATATAATTTCCAGTACTTGGTGATTTATCATCTAGTTATTCTTGTTCGTCTCGATCAATACACGAACAATCACAGACATGTTTCATTATCTAAGGTTGATTTTTAGGTGCAGAAAGTCTCCAGAGTCCAAATTTTAATTATCTTTATAACGTTTGAAAATTATATATTTGTTTGAACGATTCCACTGATAAATATTTAATACTTAATTGAATATACATATCACAATTAGTGAACACTTCTAACTTTGATACTAGTTCAAAGTGTAAATTTAATAGGCAAATGGGTTTCTAACATAGTTTGAATAAAAATAATTTTTTTAATTAAAATAAAAAAACATCAAACTGGTCGTAAAAAAAAATTTACCTAAACTAATAGAATGATATACACTTAAACTTGACAATTAAATCTGAAAATTATCGTTGTTAAAAGAATTATTTAAAATATTTAATAAAGACAATAGTGAAAGTAGTTAGTGGTAAATAATAATCTCTTAAACAAGTAGAACAATCGTTAGCTAATTATTTATTACAGTTTTCAAACGGCGAAGGCTAGATTCATAAAATTTGCTTCACAATCAGCATTAATGTTTTTTTTTTTTTTTTATTAAGAGAGCAATCAGCTTATACTTCATACTATATTAGTTTCTATTTTGGCAATGCAATAATTTATAATTTTCCTTATTACTTTATTGTGTAAAAACATGTACAGTAGAACAATTTAAACAACACTCTAGGGTATAAATTAAAAAATTTGTTATTAATGTAATTAAGAATCTAAGACTAAAAGACTTTTATAAAAATAATTTTTCATTAGTGACTCAATTATATTTGAACAGTTGTATATTTTTTTTCACTGGTAAAATGTTTGATTTTGTATTCAAATAAAAAAAAAAGGAAGGCAAATTTATAAATTTATTACTGAAATGTAGAACAGCTGATCTAAGTAATATAATATTTTACTTCAAATTATAATTGGAAATTTTAGGAAACTTACAAGCACGTTTTATTAATTTAAATGATATTGCAGTATATGGTAAGACATCTGTTATTTAACATTACAATATGTTTTAAAGTATTAGCGATGTTCAATAGATGGCGTTAGTCAGGCGCTGTAGCAGTCGTTCAAATACGGCAGACGTCCTCGTGCTCGTTGAATATTTGGCGGTCTTTGTACCAGGGGACTATGCACCGGTATCGACAATCAGCACTGTTCTTACCATGAAACGTGCGTATACCCTCCCAATTTTCGTGTCCATTGAATAATTCTCGCTGCAACAACATTAATACAATGCGACACTCATACCAATCCGTTAACATCGAACATTTTATTGCGCATTAACAATAAACGCGTGCAATTTTGTACACATTAATTTGATGGCACTAATCGAGCAATATTTCAAAAATGCGGTAAATTAGAATGTGAACTACGAACGATTTTTCAATAACCACACGCGAGCTTACTTCGTGTTCACTTTTTCAATAATCTAATACAAAATGCGGGCTTCTTTTAATATAACGAGTTTAACGTTTGTTACCGGCATGTGGTGACAAAATTTTCACGCTGGCGAACCATCCGTATCCATTTTGGACGCCTCGTTAACGCCACAAGACCAGGATCCTAGGAGTCGAATTATAAGAAATAATTATTCCAAGACACGTTTTAAAAAAAACATCACTACGCCCGATATGTTTATAAAACGTCATGCATTTTTTTAAATTGTTCCGGTTATTTCAATAATCGAGACGGCCATCATAAATACCGGCTTATACACTGCACGCGAGACCACTCGTCTTCTATACGATTATAATTAATAAATTCACATTCGATACACACACTTGAAACATCAACAGACACAATTAGACAATATGATAGAACCGCAGTCTACACCAGTCAACATTTTCTAATGGTCTGCTGCCGCTGCGGTTACAACATAAAAAATATATTGAACACAAAACAAACACGAACGCAGTCGCTGCTAGTGTTGTTGTTATGTTTGGGATTTGGTTTGCGCACAACTAGCACGGCGTCAGCTGGAGAGAACGGCAACTAACAGTGCAGTCATGTTATGAGACCCTGGTACCAGACACGGCAAACGGCTTGCAACAGTTTGCTCCGTGCCGGAAACGGCGGTCGTTTTTACCGTCCCTCAATAACATGGCAACCGTGTAATAAATGGATCTACTACTGTCACAGTGTCTCATTGGTAAAATTCATTCGCGTCGTTCTCTTACTTTGGTAGGAAACATCCGATGAATTTTAACTGTAATCTGAAAACGCATTTTTTCCGAAAATTTAAAGGTGCTCCGGTTGACAGGTTCATATTAAAGACTAAATATCATCAATATAAAAATTAAAATCGCACCGGCTATCGATTGCCAGGGTCTTCGTGTTTCATGACTGGTAGCCCAATGCGTTAACGTTCCTACCGCCGACGCGGACAAAAGTAACGCCACTTGCTGCTAAGACCCTGGTACCGAAAACCTACGATTTGAAGCAGAGTGACGTAACTGCCACATTTTGACATGGTTTATGACAGGTGCCAGCGCGCTAATCGTTCTCTCAAACCGGCGCACAGAATTGTCGTGTACGTAAACCCTAAAAAACAACCTTCTACCATGACAGACATGAATCAAACACTGCTAACTTTATTAATTTCTTTGACAAATTCTAAGGATTAATTAAAATTCACTTAGTAACAAACGCACTATATCTGAATTTCATGTATTACGTTCAGAACATGTCGAGAATAATTAATAGTACCAGTGGCGGTTATTCTTATAACCACGATAGGTGGATTACCTCCCTCTTGGTCCAAGCCTTTTTTTTTAATATTGTAGTTAAAGGGTATTTAGTGCGCTATCGATTAGGTTATTATCATTAAAATTCATATAATATGTATACAAATATATTACTTTAAAATATTGAAAAAAACTATCTGTGCCCATTTAGATTAAATAATTTTGAGATCACTAAGAATTTTGTGTGTAACCTTAATAAGGCTTTTTGCTCAAAATTAATCATAAAATCATAATTTCATAATTATTATATTTTTGGTATATCAAAAAAAAAAAAAGAGTGGTGACTAGGGTTTCCACAAGAGTGCGCTTATAAAGAGTTGGTAACAGGCTCTCCAACTATTATTCTTTGACTTTTCATTCTTTTTATTTTTGCCCTCCTTAAAAATTATTTATAATCGTCATGAATAAATGTAAAAATTAAATATTGATTTAAATCAGTAGCTCAACTACAGGAAAGCTTAGTATCCTTATCTCGATTTAAGCACTCCCAGCTCAGTATTTTACTTTTAAATATTTTTGTTTATTTATTTTTAATTATTATACTTTATAATTAGTTGTATTGTTTATAGCTAATGATGAATTTTAATAATAAAGCTACAATAGAGGAATAATAATGAGGTAGGCATAGAGTAAAGCCTTCAAGGCTCTTTAGATTTTAACAATTTTAGCATCACCAAGATATTTGATATAATCGTGCCAAAGATTTTCATATCAATTTCATAAGAGTGAAAACTTAATTACTTAATGAGTGTTTAAAAATAGTGATTTTAACCTATGATAGACCAATATTACTTACTGTAATTCTATACGTTTACATTCTATGTATTATTATTTACACGATTGTGTGTTTTTACAGTAGATCATAAAAAAAAAAATCAATGGACTCAAAATGAACTTTCACAAAACATTAACTATGTTAGTTGGTAACACATTAATTTTTAAAAATATAGATTTTAGCAAAAAAAAAATGTCAACAAATAAATTTGCTAAAATTTTACTGGCCTTGTTGTTACAGTCAACTCTTCAATAAAAATTTTTTACGAACCAAAACTAAAAATGTTCCTATAGTTTAATATAATGGCAAATAATTTTGTAATCGCATCACAAATTAATACAACTTAACTTTTGTAAATGTTTCCGAAAATACTCAGTCCTTCAAACATGTTAAATGTTCAATGTTAAATTAGAGTTCTATAAGATAAAAAAAAAATTTGTCCGACACATTATTTGTTATGTGCAAATGGTAGCCGTAGTTAAAAAAGCGTGGAATTTTTGTATTAAAGATATCGACTTTAATTATAGTTTTCCAAACCTATATTTTTATATCATTTTAAACAATAAATAAGTCAATATAATTATTTATATGTAATTTTATACATATCTCTTACATCAGACATCTTTGTCTTAAAATCGAACTATTTCCCTTTATACAGGAAGTTAAAAAATTGAAATATACACATAATATGTAGAACTTTTTTAAAATGTATCGGAAATACTGTGTCCTTAATTGATATGTTAAATTATCAAAGCTTATGTTACATACAATAAGTTAAAAAAATCATCAACTTTTTAGATCAAAATAAATGTATTTATATTAAATAAAAAGATTATTAAGAATAAAATATGATATTAATCTTATTAAATGAAATATGCACAGCTATTCATTAATAAAACAGACTAAAGTATTTTATTTATTATATCGTAGTCTACGTTCTCTAAAATAAAACTTAAATGTTTTACAAAAGTATCAACAATTTTATACACACAATAAGTATTATCTACAATAATAAATTCATCCTCATCTCCGACAAGACTGGGTTTTTCTATTAAAACAGTTTCTACAACATTTTGATATGACTTTTTTAAATCATCAAAAAAACTGATAGAATTTGTTTCCAACGTTTTAGTAGCATTACATTCGTTTCCAAACATTAGACACAAGTCTTTAAGCTGTGACTTTATTATATTTAATTGAAAATCTTTGTAGTCACAAAATGCATACACATCATAAGAAAAATATTCCTTTAAATTAGCAAAATATTTATTTCTTGAATAACCAGTTAAAGATGTAAATAAATCAATTTTTTGTATTATTTTATAATTTGCATCTAACACAAAATCTTCCATACCAACTTCAGATATAAATATATTTTTTTTATTAGTTATTTTGTCATAAACCATTAAAATATGAATTGCAATCAGCCGAGAGAATATAATATTCATTTGCGCCAAGAATTGAGTGTGCAATATTTTTATATTATAAAATCTGTTGAAAAACTTTTCAACACCCATAGTTTCTTCCATCGAAGTTTCGATAATATTAATAGCATTTCCCCATTGTATACCGTATCCGTAGTTTTTTTGTAAATAACCTATGGCATCATTTTTATATAATGATAATTTATCATCATGACGTAAGTATAAATTATTTACACAAAATTTATCACGATTTTTTATAATGATATTTGACTCAGCATAAATAGACAAAGCACTTGTAACCTCATCGAAAACTTTTCTTTCAAAAATATAAACTTTTGTTAAACTTTTAAGTAAACATGAGTTTAGTATTTTGTATTCAATATTCAATAAATGTTGAGGATTAGTGATGTCATGTGTACTTTTTACATTGCAATTCATAGTAGATTTTTTAAGTTCTTGGTATATCAGTTCTCTCGCTTTCATTAAATCTGGTAAGATTCTAACATCCAAGCTGTATGGACATTCACAATATAACATTGTAAACATCCAAATATCCAAAATATCCTTTAATCCCATGTTATAAAGTATTCTTAACATTTGGTAAGCTGTTTGGCAAAATATTGGTTCGTAGTACATCATCAAAAGTGGTATATAAATCCATTTTTTTTTTTCTAAAGATTTAATGTGATTTATTTGTATTTCAGTTCCTAACATTACAGACAAAGCCATAATTTTAATTCCACATTCTAAATCTTTTACTCTGGATTGAATTGCTTGTGTTAATAAATCATTTCGCGTCATTTTGTCCGAGTTTTTTGGAGATGCAGCAATTTTTTTAAGGTGGTCTATTTGTGGAATTCCAAAATCAATTTTCATGAGATCATCATATACTATCTGCAAATTATTTTCGTCACGCAGGTATTCTATTATAACGCATTGACCAATGTAGGGAAGTATTAAAAGCGGTAGAAAACTAAATATAGTCATATCGAAATATTCTCTTTATGTTAACATAAATTTTAATTTTAATTCCTTTAGACACTTAAAAACGTTATACGTACATTAAATTTATCGGATTTAAGTATATTATTAACAAGCAAGTCTAAATATCAATAATTTTTACACATTTTGAATTTTTGTTTACTTTTTAAAATGTCATCAAATTATACATTTAAATTACTCATTCAAAGCCATATTTTATTTAATATGTGATTTTTATTACTTATGTTTATACAGAGTGTTACCTTTATACATATCATTACTCATAAAATTTTTACTCTTTGTTTAGATTTACAATTTTCTTATAAATGGCACTTCTTTTCAAAAAAATATTTAACGGGCGGTTCTTAAAAAAAAATTTTATTTAAAATGAAACGTTTATAATTGTTATTGGGACTAGGTATTGTATGCGTCCAAAAGTTTAATTAGTTATTCTGAATAAATCTTCACTCAGTACAAATTTTTAGTAATGTGGTACCAAGTTTATAGTATTGTGGTAAAATTAGATATCAGAAGGGGGGTTATCTGAAAATAGAAAATATTTGTACGTTATTATATAATCCTATCATAAAGTTACATAAACTTGACTCATTTGGCTCAATGATAATAGTATATGCATATAATTCCTTGACTTAATTGTTATTTTATTGTATATTTTTATTCAAATAAATACTATTTATATATTATATAAATTATATAAAATATTGATACCTAAGGCATTTATAAAAAAAAGTTTTAATCCATTAATTTTTCAAAAAGTTATGATTGTTTTAATTAAAATTTAAAATAGGCAAATTTTACCGATATTAAGAACCATCATTTTTTAAGAATTTTCTAGAAACGAGGAATATTTTTATAATTTTTCAGGATTATGGTTCAATTAAATATGATCAGTGATCTTTTTAAAAATCGTTGAAAATAAATGGTTCAGTGACAGCTGAGAAAAAGTTTGGATAGACATAAAAAATACATACAGAATAGTAAAATTAATACCTTCTTAATATAGTTCGTACCGTTCGGTTCAAAACGAATTACAAAATTCTTAAAAATTGATGGTTCTTAATATCGGTAAAATTTGCCTATTTTAAATTTTAATTAAAACTATCATAACTTTTCGAAAAATTAATGGATTAAAACTTTTTTTTATAAATGCCTTAGGTATCAATATTTTATATAATTTATATAATATATAAATAGTATTTATTTGAATAAAAATATACAATAAAATAACAATTAAGTCAAGGAATTATATGCATATACTATTATCATTGAGCCAAATGAGTCAAGTTTATGTAACTTTATGATAGGATTATATAATAACGTACAAATATTTTCTATTTTCAGATAACCCCCCTTCTGATATCTAATTTTACCACAATACTATAAACTTGGTACCACATTACTAAAAATTTGTACTGAGTGAAGATTTATTCAGAATAACTAAATAAACTTTTGGACGCATATAATACAAAATGGTTCGTTTTGAACCGAACGGTACTGGACTACAGTTTGGTTTTTTACTTTGAGAGGTGACAATTTTAGCCATGCAATGGGTTGTGGAGTCGCTACTCTTAAAGCAACCTAGCGGTAAAGAAATATCAGGCCCCTAATCACTTATGAAAATAAATTAAGACTTTATTTCAATTACATTACAATTTTATTTTATATAACTCAAAACATTGAAATTAAAAAAAAATTGTTCAAATTTCATTTATTAACAGTTCTCAATATTAGTTACTAGGATAGATCTACTAAAATTGTTTTACATTTAAGTTTCAAAAATCAATCTATGATTTATTTAATTAAATGTTTAATATACCTATTATTGAATTATAAATTTTTCATTTTACTGAAATGAAGTTACAAAGTTGTGTTGTTATGAAAAAAGATGTTTATTTATACCAATATATTACGAAATGTGTTTAAAATTTTTATTTTTAGGAAAATTCTAAATGTTAGAAGGATCATTCTGTAGATATTACGACATATCACATAATGAAAAACTATTACTAATTTTTATATTAAAAATGAAATGATAGGCAAATGATGGCTAAAATAACTCTTGTAACTTTTTAATGAAGATATGAGAAAATTGCATCTATAGTACTTTTTTACTTTTTAAATTTTTTTTATGTACAATTAAAATTAGTTAAAATTAAGTTATTTAATGAATTTTTAATAAAATTATTTTAATTTTCGAAAATACACTGCTAGATTATAATATAAAATATATTGTATTAATAAAAGTATATGTATATAATATTTACATTTTATATTTATATTATTACTTAAATTTAAAACTTTTACATTTATTTATATTATAAATATTTAATTAAGATATATAGCTCGCAATAGACTATAAAAATTGGTTGCTAAAATATTATAAAAAAAAACATGCATAAGACTTATATAAAAAAATATTCCGAGAAATCAAAAAAAATCGTTTGCTTTATCATCATATTATCACATCACCATTTCTTGTTCAAATAAAAATGAAGTTAAATGTGGATAATTTATAAACGCTTTAGTTTAACATACATTTAGGCTTTGAAATTCAACATTGAACTTTTCATTCCCAAGATACATATTATACAATGAAAAATTGCCAATTGATGAAAAATAGTTACATAATATAAAAAAAACATGCTGAATTTATTCCGGAGGAGTATGGTTATTTTGGAAGACTAAGTAAATGACTCTCAAAAAACTAACAAAATAATTGTATTAAATGATAAATTAAACATTTTACCCTAATTTTACGCATACTACATTATTAATAATATTATGTCTTTGCTGATAAATTATTATACTAACGTCTTATTACTACTATATTATACTATTGTTTAAGTCGTAGCTAATATTTTTAAATGTCATACGTTTAGATATTAATTTTTATACAAAAAGACAACTCGTGGATTATAAGTAGATAAATACCACAAGACATGATAAAAAAATATTTGCTACAAATTATATTAATTTATAATATTACAAATATTTGCAACATTTGTAATAAGGTAACATTGCGTGAAGAACAGACCAGTTACAGTTAACGCTTCAACTTTTATTATAAAAAACCATAACTAGAATATGATTATTAAAATAAATAATTTAAAAATATAATATTTAAGACTAATAGATATTTAATATTTAAAAAATGTCACGAACATGATTTGGCAATAGAATTCTGTTGTTACTTTTTAAAATATGATGTCACTTTGGCAAATTTTAGGAAAGCAAAAACAAATTTAAAATTTAAACTGCGTCTTCAGGAAAATTACATTTTTGAAGTACAAAAAGCTAACATTGTTAAATGTTTTTTATTTTTCGTCACATGAAAGATAATATCTTCAATACAAATTATAAAAATCCAGCAAAGTCCAAGCGGAATATAGTACACAACATATAAGCTGAATCTAATCTAAAAATAATAATTTGATCGCAGGTCTGCTACAATATATTTTACTGAAATGAATTATGCTAAAGACGGGTGTAGAACATAATTGTTGTTTTTTCTTTAGAAACTGTTTAATATAAAATACAGTTCTTATACATTACTAGGATTATTTTCGAAATAGTTATCGATAATAATGCGGTATTTTAATACATTGTTCTAGCTGAATAAATGACAGATTAACATTTATTTACAAATCTATACTTATTAAGTGGGACGTTTTCAAAAATTCATAATGAAGAGGGCACAAATATAATTTTTTGATTGCAAGCCACTATGTATTTTTTTTACTCGTTTTAAGATGATTATGCGTAAAAAGAAATCAATAAAAATGTTTACTACTTATTTCTTAGTTTCAAATTCATTTTTCGAAATTAATATTCATTAATAATGTATATCTGTAACCTGTAGGTAAAGGTAGGCTGTATCCGTTTTATTAAATAGACTTATTTCTTTATCCATGATGATTATTTTTTAATCTATATATCTAAATAGACAGGCACGGGGGGTTTGGTTGGGTTGGTTAAGAAAGAAAGAGGGGAACACGAGCTAGTAATTTACTAGACTAGTATTTTCATAGTAATCATATTTTCCAAAGGAAGACCATATAAGTTATAATCAGGCCTTGGGTATAGGACACTATGATCAGTTACTTTAATAGGATTAAAACACCAAAATTCACTTTTTTGAAAAATTACACGAAATTTTTTACGCGATGTTTTTTACTTACGGGATACATAATTGTTATTAAAATATTATCAATAATTTATTTCTTTTTAAAATATCTTTAAAATATTATTATTTTATAATTATTTGTGTTAATTTATTATAAAAGAGTAAATATGTTTAGTTAATGCTACCATTAAATTTATTATTTATGATTGTATTTTTGATTAAGTGTCATTTAGTTTTTCTAAGTTGCATCATAACTAAATTAAAACTATTAGATCTACGTGTTATTTTCATATAAAAAATAATTTTAATTTATTACTTTGATAAAAAAATAGGTTAATACTTAATATTACAAACAAATTATAATAAAATAAAAATACTTGAAAAAATAGTCAATGTTATATTTTCTCAATAAATTTTAAACGATGTGACTTTATTAATGTAATGCATTTTTATTTTATTTGATAATTTATGACCATTTACGCTCAAGAATGAGCAAAACAGTATAGTATGAATAATTAATAGAAAAATCTTACAATTACAATTAAAAATATATGTATATAATTCATTATATGCATAAAGTAATATTACAGCTAAATTGAACTATTAGAAACTATAAACGTTCTATTTGACAAACCAGTCATAGAAATGATTACAAATATTGCTATATGGTATTACAGAATAATAAAATAAAATAAAAAATAATTAATTAATTAAG